ATGTTTTTTTAACCATGAAATAATGCTGCTTACTCTCTTTCATTCTTTTAGTATGAAATGCATTAATTCGATGTTTTTGCAATATATTTCTTTCAAAATGTATTAAAATTTAGGACATTTGCATAACTATCGTTAGCATCGGAGTAAAAAGGTTGACTATAAATAAATCCTCTATTTTGTTATATAATTATATTTCCTTATTAGATGAAAATACTCAACCTGATAAGTGTTCATGTCGATTGCTAATGCCTAAATCCAAAAGGTTGAGAAAACTATACCAAGTGTGAACATATTTGTGATACTCCATTGTCTCAACCGCTATATTTTTGTGCTATAATTTTCATAAATTATTAAATTAAAAGATTTCCGGTGCTTACCTTTGCCGCACACGAGGAATACGGCTCATCAAAAAGAGTCCATGCGTTTGGTTTAAACTTCTCCCAAGCCGTTAGCTGTCCCGAATTGTATCGCTCCTCCAGACCAAACCGCTTGTACAGCTCCTCTTCCGAAATGTGGCCCGAGTCGAGGTCAATGTCGTCCAAGATCTGCAGAGTTTCTTGAGTGTTGCGATGACTGGTGTACGTCATCCAGCAACACGGCTCCACCTGAAGCGAAATTAATAATATGATACCGCGTGTAAAGAAGAGTCAACCATAATTCTTGACTCAGGTTTAGGATGGCTTTTCTGTGGGAATGAGATACACCACATTTCATATACTCATCTAATATAACCGATTTACTGGTAGTTTCGAAACTCTACTTATATCCGCAAATTAAGTAATGTAATCGCTTTTTATAGCAGAAATTGTTTGCTTCATTGACAATCCAACCGAACCTTGTGAAATGGGAGAAGGCCTGGACTTGCTTGAAATTCACGTCTGCCCTGTGACCCAAATGGCACTCGTGGCAGTGTGGCCGAGTGGTTGGCGTGTCGAGCTCACATTCTGCACTGTCATGGTTCGACTCCCGCTGGGGGTGTTGATAAGACCAATGCAAGGTCGACACTCCAGCCGGGATGAGAACAACTTTTGGGAAGGCCAAACTGTGTGAAATTCAATGGAAAAACTCGAACACCAGTCCTTCATCACCTTAAACGAAATTGTGTGAATACATTTCATATAATTGATTTACTGGTAGTCTCGAAACTTTACTTATATACAGAAAATGCTACCAAATTGTAATGTAACCAACACAAGAGGTATGATATAATAGAACTACTGCAAAGCAACGGGAGGCCTATTTCATCTTCTAGGAGGATCGGCTAAGGAATTTTTTGGTAAAATTTGCTCTCTTTTCACAATACAGTTTTTTCAGGAGAACCTTCGACGCCAGGATACAGTTAATTTATGCATAATCTTGATATTGCTAATTTTGCTGGAAGCCGAATTGCTTTTATAGGCTCTTCGGTGTCGAATTGCGTTTGATGGTATTTGACTGTTAATTTAACGGATAGTTCAGAACTTGTTCAAACTAGTGAAAATCCCCAAAAATGCTGGCTTAGCAACGACATATACAAGGTGAAAATGCTGAAATGTAAAATTCAAGAGGCCAAAAGTGCTTTGTAAACTGTCTATTGTATGGCATAAGTTTATGTGAGGAAGTCAGCTGTAGTTGTTCAGAAAATTCGTGCTTAATGTGGCAAAATAATTCGGCTACGTTCCCCGCTGTGAATAAGACAAGCTAACACTGATGAAAAAACGACGTAATCTCACAATGACTGGCATACTAGTGCGAAATAATCAGAGTGAATGTCTCTCTTGGCGTGAAGGAATTCATTTGTAAGGTTGCCTCCCATTGCTGGCCTAAGCATCATTGGCGTTCAGGCAGATGAATTATCCTTCGACCAATAAACGGAGCATTAATTCTGGGCAAGATTCACTTGTTTACATGTTACAGTTACACGTTACCGTTATTAACCGCAGGGGTCTAACCAGCACAAACCACGCATTGATTCGAATTTATGTCTTCTGCTTCTAGAAGGACTAGGAAAGTATCCTTTCTTGTGTGATTCACAGCTCCTTCGCTGTTAGGCGTGTGGACGGAGGGTGAAGGGTTCGGGGCAGATTGTGGCTGCCTAAATCACCAACTCTCCGAAAGAGACTTTGTCCGGCCAACGATGGCAAAAGGACTACTGATCTCCGGGACTTAACAAATGACATGAAATAGAGTAAAAACGATGGAATTTCAAAGTAATCAAAAATAAATTATAAAATAGGAGGCATGATTTTGACGTTAAATTGTAAGGCCCCTTGAATCACAAAATTAACATTAATCCGAGTTAGACTGAAATCTGCAGTTTATCTCAGACTCCCAGAGGCCCAGACGCGATCTGGTTTCGGAACGTGTGTATTCTGGAATACAACCGACTCCATTTTTAAGGCAAAAAAATGAAGTATCTTTTCAACTCACCTTGGCACTTATCGCTATCATTCAATGTAATGAGATGTATTCAGCCTATTTCGTCTAAGGTGATGAAGGACTGGTAGTACAATTTTCCCACAATAATATGAGTTGACTTGACGTTTCCATTGAATTTCACACAGCCTTGCTTTCCCAAAAGTTGTTCTCATCCAGGCATCAGTCGACTGGAGTTTCGACCTCGCATCGGTCTTATCAACACCCTCAGCGGGAGTCGAACCGCGACAGTGCAGGATGGGAGCTTGGCCTCGCATTGGTCTTATCAACACCCTCGGCGGGATTCGAACCGCGACAGTGCAGGACGGTAGCTTGACACACTAACCACTCGGCTACACTGCCATGAGTACTCTTGAGTCACAGGGCATAACTGAG